GTGCCAAGATCTGCAGGTCACGGATTGGCCTATTCAGCCATCTCCGGACCCATGGTGTCATGGACAAGTGACACCTGGAGAGAAATCATACTCGACTACGAGGGATCCCAGAAGAAGAAGGAACCCACAACATAAAAAATTCGAGTACGACGTTTCACCGGTAATTACAATTAGCATCATCAGGCGACAGCCGGAATTGCCACGCAGGCGTCTGGCCTATGAAGCAGTGTAATGGCGCCCCCTCCTGGTCAAGTTGGGAGTGGCATTCCTGACCCATAAGCTCGACCACACTTCACCGCTGGAGCGTCACCGCCACCACCTCCCGGGCCAGTCCACACCGTGCAGCAACACCCGTGGGTGGCTGCTCAAGCCCACTTTTTCTTCGCAAGATGTCGCTAATCAGAAACTCGCCATACCTCCTCCGCCATCATCGCCAGCCCCTGCCTCCACCCAACAAGGCCTCCACCTAGGATTGCTCGAGAAGTTTTGAACCCCTGATGGACTGGGACCACTTTACCTGCTGCTACCGGACAGCCTGTCTTTTAACAACGGTGGTGCGATGACGCCGCCCTGTTGTACTTCTCCACCGTCTTTCGGGACGATGCGTTGGAGCTTATGACTCCATCCCGGCGGGACAGAAGACCACTCTTGCCGACGCATACAAGGCCATGGCAGAGATATTCACCATAAGGGTTGTTACAGGGTGCCACTTCTGGGGACGGACCGTGGCCATGGAAGAGACTACCATGGCCTTCACCATTGCCCTGCACCTCTTGGCCCAGAAGACATACCTGACCATGAACGACGTGAATCTGGAGGGTGTGGTAGTCAATTGCCTGGTCAACTACGTGGCCATCGTTGAGGACCACCTCAATGATGGTCACGTGGGTCACTGAACAAATCGATCTGCACACGTTGTGATGCACCGATCGGCGACTGTCAAAAGGGTCACCGTGCCCTCTCCGGGCCACCTCCACTGCCGTGCACCTCACTAGTGGCAATGGGAACTCTCCAGTGTGTGACTGTGGTTATCCAGAACAGACCATGCAACGTATAACAACACAATGCCCGATCCACAACTACGAAGAGATATCATGGCGATACACTCCGGGTTGTCTGGCTTGACCACCTGAATGTGAAATTGTAGTTGTTGTCTCTACATGAATATCAGACATACGAAAGAAGAATAAGTGGCAATGGACATTACAGTTGTTCTGACTGCCATCCTGCGAGAAGTATGGGAAGAGCTCCCAGGCACACAGCACAGGGGCCTTGTCCACCGGGGTTACCAACCGCAACAGCCACGGCCGGCTGCAGGCTTCTTAGTCCTATCAGGCGGCCATCATTTATCATTGGTGTGGCCAGCTGGGCTGGGTCTCAATGGGTGTCGCTGAGGTAGGCCAGCGACGCCCGTCCATACATGCCTGCTCTCCCCTCCGCCACTGCCTTGCAGCCAGAACCACCGCAGCTGGCAACACCGTTGCTGCCCGTGGGCCGGTGGTCACCCATCGCCTTCACGTCTGCCGCGAGTCCGCAACCGCCACCTACACCACTGCCACTGGCCGTGCCATTGCCACCTGTTGCTCCGTGGTCGCCTTTAAATCTTCCAGTCACCTTCTTCTCTTGCCGCCCGCCCCCACCGATTCTGCGGGCGAGTGACCCGCAAACTGGCCACTTAATCAGACCTATCACACGGTGGAAGAGGCTACAGCGGCAAGCGGTGGCCGCGGCGTCGGGCACAGCCTTCATTGTGAGGCCCAATCTTTGGCACTGGTACTAAAATGTCACTGGCGCATCCGCTGCACTAATTGACCGCTCGCTCTTCAACTCACTCCCTCAACACCAGTGGTAAGCGCTTATAAAGGTGATGGGGCAGGGTAAAGGTCAGCATCTCTTTTGCTGACATCACAGTAGACGCGCCCGACCATGCCTCTGCGACTCTCCTGCGTGCCGTGCCCCTTTTGGGAACTGACGTCTTATTCGGGTCGCCTCTATGAATGAATGCGCCAGAGAGAACACCCAACAAGATCACACACCCTTGCTGAGTCCGGCGAATGCCGACGCTACCGGCGAGGTGTAGGCAGTAGTGGTCTGCGACGCGTAACTGCCTCCGGCCACACAAATGCTTGTGCCATTATACAAAACCACGTTTCCTTCGACGGCCCCCATCCTCATCTCGCCCACGCCGTCTGCGGTGGGTCGTCTGGGCCTGGTGGGAGGCCGACATGCTCCTCCACTGTCATCAGGCAGAGTCGGTTTTTACAGGTCCTCAATGCTGCTGCGGACGAGGGCGTCACGATGCAATCCGTAACGGCACGAGCACACGGCTCCACGTTGCCTGCCGATACGATGATGATGAGCGGTGTGTGTGGAATATAAGGACTGGAACCGTTCCTTATCTGTCTCCGCGTGTTGATTGAGGGGAGTGCCCGCTGCAGTACGATACTGTGCGACAGCTTACGAGCTAGCGTTGATGAGTGAGGTGACAGCTGAGGGGAGGTTGTGGAGTGAGGGAAGGGGAGGGTGTGGAGTGAGGGGAGGGAGTGGAGTGAGGAGAGTGAGAGGAGTGAGGAGAGTGAGAGGAGTGAGGAAAGTGAGAGGAGTGAGGAGAGTGAGAGGAGTGAGAGGAGAGAGTGCGGAGTGAGAGGAGTGAGGGGAGGGAGTGGAGTGAGGAGAGTGAGAGGAGTGAGAGGAGTGAGGAGAGGGAGTGGAGTGAGGAGAGTGAGAGCAGTGAGGAGAGGGAGTGGAGTGAGGAGAGTGAGAGGAGTGAGAAGAGAGAGTGCAGAGTGAGAGGAGTGAGGGGAGGGAGTGGAGTGAGGAGAGTGAGAGGAGTGAGGAGAGGGAGTGCAGTGAGGAGAGTGAGAGGAGTGAGGGGAGGGAGTGGAGTGAGGAGAGTGAGAGGAGTGAGGAGAGTGAGAGGAGTGAGGAGAGTGAGAGGAGTGAGGAAAGTGAGAGGAGTGAGGAGAGTGAGAGGAGTGAGAGGAGAGAGTGCGGAGTGAGAGGAGTGAGGGGAGGGAGTGGAGTGAGGAGAGTGAGAGGAGTGAGGAGAGTGAGAGGAGTGAGGAGAGGGAGTGGAGTGAGGAGAGAGTGCGGAGTGAGAGGAGTGAGGAGAGGGAGTGGAGTGAGGAGAATGAGAGGAGTGAGGGGAGGGAGTGGTGTGAGAGGAGGGAGTGGAGTGAGGAAAGCGGCTGAGATGAGGGAGTGGAGTGAGAGGAGGAGGTAAGCTTAGGGTGCATGAGGGTATGTACAGTGAGGGAAAAAAAGTATTTGATCCCCTGCTGATTTTCTACGTTTGCCCACTGACAAAGAAATGATCAGTCTATAATTTTAATGGTAGGTTTATTTGAACAGTGAGAGACAGAATAACAACAAGAAAATCCAGAAAAATGCATGTCAAAAATGTTATAAATTGATTTGCATTTTAATGAGGGAAATAAGTATTTGACCCCCTCTCAATCAGAAAGATTTCTGGCTCCCAGATGTCTTTTATACAGGTAACGAGCTGAGATTAGTAGCACACTCTTAAAGGGAGTGCTCCTAATCTCAGCTTGTTACCTGTATAAAAGACACCTGTCCACAGAAGCAATCAATCAATCAGATTCCAAACTCTCCACCATTGTCAAGACCAAAGAGCTCTCCAAGGATGTCAGGGACAAGATTGTAGACCTACACAAGGCTGGAATGGGCTACAAGACCATTGCCAAGCAGCTTGGTGAGAAGGTGACAACAGTTGGTGCGATTATTCGCAAATGGAAGAAACACAAAAGAACTGTCAATCTCCCTCGGCCTAGGGCTCCACGCAAGATCTCACCTCGTAGAGCTGCAATGATCATGAGAACGGTGAGGAATCAGCCCAGAACTACACGGGAAGATCTTGTCAATGATCTCAAGGCAGCTGGGACCATAGTCACCAAGAAAACAATTGGTAACACACTACGCCGTGAAGGACTGAAATCCTGCAGCGCCCACAAGGTCCCCCTGCTCAAGAAAGCACATATACATGCCCGTCTAAAGTTTGACAATGAACATCTGAATGATTCAGAGGACAACTGGGTGAAAGTGTTGTGGTCAGATGAGACCAAAATGGAGCTTTTTGGCATCAACTCCACTCGCCGTGTTTGGAGGAGGAGGAATGCTGCCTATGACCCCAAGAACACCATCCCCACCGTCAAACATGGAGGTAAAAACATTATGCTTTGGGGGTGTTTTTCTGCTAAGGGGACAGGACAACTTCACCGCATCAATGGGACGATGGACGGGGCCATGTACCGTCAAATCTTGGGTGAGAACCTCCTTCCCTCAGCCAGAGCATTGAAAATGGGTCGTGGATGGGTATTCCAGCATGACAATGACCCAAAATACACGGCCAAGGCAACAAAGGAGTGGCTCAAGAAGAAGCACATTAAGGTCCTGGAGTGGCCTAGCCAGTCTCCAGACCTTAATCCCATGGAAAATGTGTGGAGGGAGCTGAAGGTTCGAGTTGCCAAACGTCAGCCTCGAAACCTTAATGACTTGGAGAAGATCTGCAAAGAGGAGTGGGACAAAAACCCTCCTGAGATGTGTGCAAACCTGGTGGCCAACTACAAAAAACGTCAACAAGGGTTTTGCCACCAAGTACTAAGTCATGTTTTGCAGAGGGGTCAAATACTTATTTCCCTCATTAAAATGCAAATAAATTTTCAACATTTTTGACATGCGTTTTTCTGGATTTTTGTTGTTGTTATTCTGTCTCTCACTGTTCAAATAAACCTACCATTAAAATCATAGACTGCTCATTTCTTTGTCAGTGGGCAAACGTACAAAATCAGCAGGGGATCAAATATTTTTTTCCCTCACTTTACGAATATTGAATTTATTTCGCACCGTACGAAGCCAACAGTGCTAATCGGAGGTGCGGATGATGATGTTGCTGCTGATGAATGGGCTGAGGGGGCTGTGTGGAGGGAGGGGGGAAGTGCTAAAGGGAGGGTGTCGAGTGAGAGGAGTGGCCGAGAGAAGAGTGCGGGATGGAGGGCAGTGAGTGAGTGGATGGTGCAGTGCGATGGGAGGGAGCGGGGGGAGGGTCGTGCCGCCCTCATAGGGCGCCACGCGCTTCTTGCTGTCTGCTGCGCGGAGCAGGGAGCAGGGCGCAGTTCACAGTCGTCCCGTGAGGAGGAGGAGGTGCAGCGGAGTCCCGGTCGGAGTCCCGCGCCTCGCAACTCCCCGAGCTCCCGAGTCGGGATGGGCACCGCGCTCCGCGCTCTCGCCGTGCTCTGCGCGCTGCTGGGCTCCACTGTCTCTCAGCCAAGCCACGAGGCACCACCGCAGGTAGGGAGGTCGCGTGGCATCACCACAGGTAGGGAGGTCACGTGGCACCACAAGTAGGGAGGTCGCGTGGCACCACGAGTCGGGGAGCGCGTGACATCACAGGTAGGGGGGCACGTGACACCAGAGGTAGGGGGGTCGCGTGGCATCACCACAGGTAGGGAGGTCGCGTGGCATCACCACAGGTCGGGAGGTCGCGTGGCATCGCCACAGATAAGGGGGGCGCGTGGCATCACCACAGGTAGGGAGGTCGCGTGGCATCACCACAGGTAGGGAAGTCGCGTGGCATCACCACAGGTAGGGAGGTCGCGTGGCATCACCACAGGTAGGGGTCCGCTGGTCGTGCAGTGCGAGTTGATGACCTGGCACATGAACTCGCACCGCAGAATTTCCGTTTACAGTAATGGTAACCGTTGCATTCCCATGGCGTTGCTGGATTCCCACGGCTTCAGTTGGGTACACGGCGGAAGAGGCGAACACGATGCCATGATTATCAATTGTCATTTCTCATCGCCATCCTTTGATCGATCGTCATCAGCTGTTGCTCGACTCTTGAAACTCGCCGCCACGACGTGTGGTTCACAAACATAGTCACAACAAAATAGAGATCGCAAACAGGGAAGGGACCCAGAGAAGCGTGGATAGATGCATCGCACCCGTGGACGTACATCAAGAGGCGATGCGGAACATGGGGATTTAGAGAGCACACGCAGGTTCATGACATCATCCATGGCACAGACGGGACGATGGATCACGGTCAAGAATAGTGATGGAGTGGCAGCGAAGGAACGGAACGCGTCGGAGAGGACGTTGAGCGTGGAGACGGAGCGATTGAATCAGTTCACCTGCAGGTGGACCGTTGTTGTATCGCAAGATGGCGAGAAGTGGTGGCGGCTTGGGGAGGCCTTCATCCAGAAGTGTAGTAAACATAGCTGACGATGATTCTCAGTGAGGAATCGTAAATGTCGCGAGGTGTGCAGTTGCTGCCTCGTGAATACCACGGCTTGTATTCTTGTTACGATATTCACACGGGGAGATGTCACGCGTCACGTTTTGTAATTGACCGTGGTTCACCGCCCCCCCCCCCCCCCCCACCTAATCACGTGCTGGGGATGAAGGCTCGGCGAGCGATCATCGATGTGGCAGAATGCGATTTCTTTAACTCGCCAACTGGAACGTTGCAAAGTTCAAATCCCAGTCGGGGGTCCAAGCGGCCAGTTTGCGCCTGTGGGGTTTTTTTTTCTACGGAGAAAAGTGACTCCCCACCCGAGGAATTTGGAATTTCCTCCACTGGCTCTGGGCCTCCAGCAGGGATGAGCACCGACTCCTCGTGTCTAATAGGGCGGAAAGCTCGACACGCTCATCAGTCACACCGTGGCCTCGAAGGGGAAACCAAAACAAATATAAAGCAGGCGGTGTTTCAGGCAACGGCCCTTCTTCTCGTCTGTGTAGCGCGTGAATGGAATGGTCAGAGAGTGGAGAAGAGGTGGAGACTGCACTTTTACACAAGGGGGCCTGAGTTACATTTCAGCCAATGTTTCCTGATGAACAGTTTTTCAACTGGCCTTGGAATGGTAAAACTCTTAGCTCAATGAATAATAATGATCGAACAGTATTCCTAAGTAAATAGACTCGATTACATTAAACAAAAATACACTTATAAAATGTTCCCGCCATACTGAATTTTGGGTGTGTCCGTTGCAGTGAGGTCAATGGAAATACCATTCGCACAATCTACCGAGCGAGCGTTCGCCTTGTGAGCAGCACTCGTGCGTGTGCACGGGTACAGCACGCGGTGCTCTTGCTGTGTGCGTGCGCAAGTGGGACACCGCTAACTCTACGCGTGTGCGTCGCGTGCACAGGACTGCTCCGAGGGCTACGAGTGGGAGCACGCGACGGGTGAATGCAGAGGTACCCCCCCTCTCCGCCAGCCGGTGCCATACATCACACTTCACGGGGCTGTTTGAATGTTATAGCAGTGCCAGTGTAGAGGTTTTGCGCACACACGTGCTCGGATGTCGGTGAATTAAATGGCACTGTCATCGTTGTTGAAGTGACACGGGCCTGTTAACTACGTGATGCGGTGAGAAAGAAGTGACTTGATCTTATATCAGTCATCTTGGTTTCGTTATCAGCCTGTCCATGAAACGCAACAGGAGACTGCGATCTTGCAGACTGTCGAGGTTGCTGAACGCTGTGCATAGAGAACAGCATCAATCCATAGGCACTGAATATGTACTGAGTCTGAACTTAGCTCAGATGGCTTGTTTGCGGGTTTCAATGTGCGCGTGTCTTTTGTGGTGCAGTGGATTTCGCACCGCGCTACAGACCCCGGTGCCCCGAGTTCGATTTTCGGCCATGGCCAACATCGGTAACAAATACCCGAACCGTTCCTGGGCCTCCCCTAGGTCGACTCAGCCTTAAATTAGTACTGTACATGGTTTGTTGTGCGTTAAATATCAGCACTGGGGAAATAAAGGGGACTTGCAATGGCACTGGCGACATCGCCACCGTGTGCGCCATGTTGGCCTTCAAAGGTGATTGCTAATAGCACTGCCCCAACAGCCGGCCCAGGCCACACGAGGGATCTTTGTTGTGTTTCCATGTGCATGCGTTTTGTCTGCATCTATTTCGTGCGTGCATGTGCTTGTGTGTCTCGGTGTGCTTTTGTGTACTCTGTTCACGTGTGTGCTTGTTTGTGACGTCACCGCCCCTTGTTGGCGAACGGCGGGTGATGTTTGTGAGTGCACATTCGCGTATCTGCTTGTGCGGGTTGTGTAGAATCCGCCTTCACGATTACGTAAAGGTACGTCGTGGCCTAATACAAGAAGCCCATTCGCAATTTATATAATTGAACAGAAGTAATATATATCAAACTGTGTCCCACAATGCAATGTCATTTCAGCGTCTAAATGCTATCACAACTCAAGAAGCTTAAAAAAGCTGATTTACTACTGAAAATAAGTAGCAAAACATTTCTCGGTAAACTTCAATAATTCTATCTTAATTCTATATCGACAGTAATAAACTCAACATAAAACACAAGCTACATTTATACAACTGACTATATAAAACCTTGGGTTAAGTTTCCAATCAGTAAATAAAAAACTCCAATAGTAAAACCAATGGCAAGAATTGAACAATTTCTAATCACACGACGGCACAGCCCTGCGAGGAATCGGGGTCACCGGACTGGAAGTGGAAATGTGCGAGGCTTCAAACCAGACTTAAACATTCTGCCAAATGCAAGAAATGTGTTGGAAGGGCTATCTGACGGCCTGCTTCCATCACGTTTCCCTTGCGCCGTCGTTCAGACACGCGCGTTGCCGCAAATTGCCAACGTGTCCCATGCCCCTGCAGTGTTATTGGCGAATGTGTCGAGTCTTTTTGTTATTCGTGCCCCGACTATTTACGTCAATATTTTTTCAGTGCCTTAGATGCCCAGCAGTCATTCGTGTGTTTGTTCGTCGACCAATGTAAACGCCATATATCTAGCGATGGCCATGTGGGTGCATGTGTATATTTTCACGAGTTAACCCACGGCTTTTTTTTTGCAACTCAGCTCGCCCCATTTCAACCTCCCCCCAACATGGCCCCGTTGATTTGTTTTCCAACGAGGCAGAAATCACACGCGAGCCAGCCCCAAAAGCCATCCCCGAGGGAGCCACGCACGCCGGTTCACTCCTGCATCACGCTGTGTGCTCGCTCCATACAGATGTGGACGAGTGCACCGGCATTCCAGACGCATGCCGCGGCGACATGATGTGCGTCAACCACTTCGGGGGCTACATGTGCCTGCCGCGATCGGCGCTCGTCATCACGGGCGGCGTGCAGCCCGGCGGCACGGACCTGAGCGGACCTCAATCTGGACTTCCAGGCCAGCGTGGGCCTGAGCTGGGCACTGGGCAGGACACTGAAATTGGCACCCGAGGCCCAGCCACATCCGGGTTGGATGGACCTCGACCGGGTGGACCTAGGCCGGGCGGGTCTAGACACAGTGAGCCCAGTCCCGGTGGATCCAGGCCTGGTGGACCTCGGCAAGGAGAACCTAGGCCAGACGTAGCGAGAACCGCTGTGCCCAGACCGATTGAACCTAGACGGGATGGACCTCGACCTGGAGGGACTAGAATCGCAGAACCAAGGCCAGGGAGACCAAGACCAGGCAACGCTAGGCAAGGAGGCGGTAGGCCCGATGTTACTGGGCAAGACTTTGAGCAGGACAACGACTTCTCTGACCAAGGGCATCGACCGCAGCCTCCAGACGTGAACATTCCAGCAGAAACTCCACTTCCCCCGCCCACTTCTCGCTGTCAACTTGGCTACAGGTTGTCCGAAGGATTCTGCATAGGTAAGTCGTCCTAACGTTTTCTCATTCAAAACTGCAGGAGGTGTCATGTTGGCCGGTGACCAGGGTGGCCCTGGGGCTGATGCAATGTCAGAGTCGGAGTTGCTGCTGCTGTCCCAATGAATGGCGTGGTCTAAGTGTGATCGGGGCGTAGCGAGTAGTCATCCCAGCCAGTCACCACCAACTACAAAAAAACCCAGAATCAGTACCTGGTTGAATGATATTTTGTAACTTAATTCTGCATATTACAGCCATGACATTTTCAAAGTAAATGTATTTGATTGTAACGTATTGAGCACATTTTTTTCCTACAGGGTACGTATGGCATTTGCCACCGCGTGTTGATAAAAGGCTTTCAGTGGAATTTAGTTCTGTTTGTTCATCTTCAGACGGCAATTTCCTGACTCGTGAAAGTACTACACGGCTCGCTGTGAGAGTTATCAATGGACTTGTGATTTTTTTCGTCTTGTGCCACATAAGTCTTTAGGCAACGAGTGGTGCATTGTGCACTGTCGGCATGATGATTAAAAGCCCTTTATTTTTTTTAAAAGTAAGAATATTGCATGCAGATGCTCGATCCACAAACTCTGCTTCCAAAGTGTTGTATTACAGGCAAAGCACCACGACGTTAAAAAAAAAACGAAATCTGACGTAAAAAATCAAATCAAGGATATGAAAGCAGAAGTCATCAAATGGTACCCGTCATGCATCTTCACTGCTCAGGCTTTCTCTCCTCCGCCAGATCACACAGCTGCTGCACAGCAGACACACAAACTCCCGAGCTTTGCACTGAGAGTCTCCCACCATCTGGTCTAAGACCTTCTGGTCGCTGGACTCGTGGAGACCTCTCCAATGTCCGTGGCACTAATCGGTCCCGGCCTGCTCGCACATCCCACTGAGCTCAGCCATTTTTTTGGCTCGTCATTTCTTAAACACCACGGAGTCATATTTTATATCGGACGTCTTGATTGCATATCCTGTCTTGGCACAGAATTGCCAGCGTCCATCTCTCAGACATCTGTGCTCAAATGCCAACAACTTATTGTGGAGCAGCTTGGTTTGCGTCCAGCTCTCGGATCCACAAGTAATACAGACAGCGTTCCTGCGGCTGCCCTCAAATGCCCATTTCTTTACGTTGGGGCGCATATTCTCAGTCACAGTTCGGCTCGGGCTTGGCTCTGGCTCAAGTGAGCCGGCTCAAAGTTCTGCTTGATTTGAGCCGGCTCTGAGCGCGGTGCCATCCCTCGCTCGTGATGTCCACGAGCGGTGCCTGAGCCGAGCCATGGCTGAGCCGCTGGTGCATCTTTGAAAGCAACCGAGGCGGCTCAAGTTAGAGCCGTGACTCAGAACATGGCCCTCACACAAAAGTGGTGTCCATAGCCCATCGACAACCTGCCCTGCCAAAGCAATGCACCTCCTTCTCACTGCACCCCCCCCCCCCCCCCACCGCATTACAGACGTACTGCCTCATACGAAGTCCGCTGCCACTTTTCCTGCAGGATTTGTGATCCTAACACATCCCGTTTCTCAATACCGCTGTTCACTTTGTCTTAGGAAAACTCAGATCCTCAAGAGTCCAATGTCGGGCCTCGGTGCCTAAGATCGCCCACCCCTCTACGCCTCCAGCCAAAGTCATCTAGCCAACACATTGGCATCTTCTTGACTGATTTGATGGGTGGGTCACATACTAACGCACCCCCGATTAGCACGGTTGGCTACGTGCAGTGCGAAAGCAGTTAATACACACAGAAACCTACAGACTCGTACAGAGACCCATAGACTCACATAGAGACCCATAGACTCACACAGAGACCCATAGACTCACATAGAGATCCATAGACTCACATACAGATCCATAGTTTGTTGTCCTTCCCCCCGCACCTCCGATTAGCACGGTTGGCTTTGTGCGGTGCGAAAGAAGTTCGAGGCGCCTACACAGAATCTGCTGAACATCACTGCATTCATTCTGTTTGGGCAGCCTCTATGTCGCGGTTCTGTTAACGCTTAGCGCAGAATGCTGAGTGAGCTGGTGCAGGGAGCGCTGGAGAGTGGGCAGGGAGCGGTGGCGCTTCACGCAACTTTGTGTTCGTCGCCGTCCCACCAAGCAGGGGACGGTGCCCGGAGCGGTGGTGGTGGTTGGGGGGGGCAGTGGCGCCCCGCAGTTGCGGGCTGTTGACGGGGGCGTGCGGCGCTGGTTGGTATTGGACCTCGGGAACAAACCGGGCCTTGTGAAGTGGGCGCCCATCTGACATCCAAGCCCCCCCGCCCCCGTCCCTCGCTTTTAGCAGGGCGGTTAAAATTACACAAAATAAATAGAGGCGGACAGAAACTGCGGCAGTATAAATAAACATCGATCGCGTGCCGCGCCACGAAATATCCTAATGCACGCTCGACCCCCCTAACCGCGCTGCGTGGTTGGGAGACGCAGCGTGGAAAATCCGTCCACATTCCTCTGTCGCTCGGGGGCCACAGCAGCGCGCGCGTGCACGCAAAGCAACGCACCCTGCCACTCAAAACACAGCGCAGAGAGAGATCCCTTTTATCCTTCGCAGATAATTATCAAAGCCAGCGGGGCACCCACGCGCTGTGGGTGGCGTGAGCGCAGCCAAGCTCGTCCGCCTCGTCCCCTCCGGTTAGCGCATCCCATCGGGCGCTCGAACGTTGACTGCACCGACATTGCGTGAATCCCGGGCCACTTGTCACAGACGCACGTGGCCGGGAAGCGAACCTGGATCGCTGGCAGTGCACGGAGGCGTGGGCATCGCCAATTCCATTATGATGATCGGCGTGGACGAAGGTCCAGGAAGCAGGGAAGCATTAGTTCGTTGGGGTATCACCGTGGGTGGACGACTGACGGCAAAAGGTTGATGCGTGAAAAGATGGATGGGGCGGGGCGAGTGGAGGGGCTCGCAGGCTCCTCCGTTGGGTCGTCGCACTTCAGCTGGGACTCCCCCCCCGCCTCCCTCTCTGCATGCTGCGGGCGTCGGAATGTGAAATGATAAGAGAATCCAACAGGTGGATGCTCAGTCATCAGATTCAAATCGGCATTCTCACTGCACCGTCGAGCCGCCATCATCGACACCGTGGAGGGACGGCCATTTGATGGGCAGCTCCGCCGTTCTTATTGGGAAGCCACTGAAGCTGTGCACTTTGAAATCTCGATCGAAAATGAGTTTCTGATGAACCTCTTTGTGTGTTTAGTTTGTCGTTATTCCTCCGCACTTTGGCTACGTCCAGTGCGAAAGAATGTCAACATAATACATACATGCGTAGAAGAGATGCCACACGAACAGAGATGGTGACAAGTCGATACGCTGCGTAACAGCGATGGTTGCGGCTCTTCAGTTATTTTAAGTTCAATCTGATTGTGACCTAATTTTCGTTCCACTTCGAATGCTACTCCCCTGTGGTACATATTCTTGGGGCACAGGTGCGTGAACGTGCCGTTCAAAGTCCCAATTCGTATCGTACCATAGATTGCCCATACATTAGGGCGTGTAGGTGTAGAATGGTAGCTCTGTATGAAAGCAGACATATGCACGGACACAAGCAATAGCGCACACATGTACAGCTCGGTGTGCAGACGGGTCGGGCTGCAGGCGGGTCGGGGTGCAGGCGGGTCGGGGTGCAGGCGACTCGAGGTGCAGATGGCTCGGGGTGCAGATGGGTCGGGGTGCAGGCAACTCGGGGTGCAGATGGCTCGGGGTGCAGGCGGGTCGGGGTGCAGGCGCGCCCATGCTGGCGGAACTCCCACTGCTATGCCTCCGAAATGCGCGCGCGTTATTTCAATACCGTCGAAATTAATTAAAGTACATATTTTACACCCTTGGCAGGAAGCAATATGTTCAAGAAAAATATTAACATTTACCAGATTTACAGCATATGCATTGAGCCCCTACCACGCGATTACTGTACAGAGAGCGGCATTGGCTCAGAATTGGCCCAATGAGCTTCCGTATGCAGACTTTCCATCTGACAAGCGTGGATTTCACAGCTGGGAAACAAATTACCCTTTAAATCCACAGAGACATACAGAGGATCACAGAATTACATCAGCACAATGACAAACACATTCTGTATATACTGACATACAAAGATCCCCTGTGTAGTCTCGAATAGGCTGTTTGGGCAAGTTAGCTCGCGCCAATGAAAATTGGAACAGCACACGAGGGGGTGGGGTGGTCAACACCACTCCCGGCCGCCCCAGGTACGTACTCATCTTAGGCTGAGTCAACCTAGGGGAGGCCCAGGACCCTTTCAGATAATCATCACTAAATATCGGTCGTGAGCGGAAATCGAACGCAGGTCACCAGGTTCGTAGTGCAGTGCTTTAACCACTATGCCACCGCTCCCCACGTACACACACGTACATACACCCTGACTCGCACACACACACACAAACCGGTCAATTAAACACATCGGGTTGTTAATGCTGTCACTGAGAGGAAAGGAGGATCTCACCGTTTCAGCTCACTGACCTTCAGGAAAAATTGGGGTTTATAGAGAGTCACGGATCATCTTAAAAGGGCAAGGGGAGATGGGTAGCGTACGGTGTCAGCTGATTGACTCAGCGGGAAAGATTCCCTCAAGTGCAATTTGTTTTCTAATCGTGTGTTGACATCTGCAGTTGGTCAACCGTAACCGAGTGAACCGTTGGCAACGAATTAGCGAACCACTTCCGATATCGCTGCAAAGGGACCTTTGATCCAAAATCAGAATACAGTATGTATTTACACGAGAGGAATCCGATGAGCTATAAAGCTCTTTGTCACCGACGATCCACGCATGACTTGTCAAATGGAAATGTTAATTGTGACTGCTAGAATCTCGACAAATGAATGGCACAACCAAATATATTCTGATGAAATTTTGCATCTTAATAAATTACCCAAAAACCCAGCTTAAATCATCACTATCATCATTACTATGAACGATAACACTTCTTTCGCACCCGCTCTTCCTCCCGCTCTCCCGCCCACAGACGTGGACGAGTGCGAGGTGGACACGCACCGCTGCGCTCCCCCGCTCGTGTGCGCCAACGCTCCCGGGAGCTACCGCTGCCAGTGCCTCCCCGGCTTCCGCATGGGCGGCCGGGGCGCATGCCAGGGTGAGTGGCGCGTCGGCAGCCCCCTCCACCATTGCTAACTGCGCGGGACGAGCTCTCGTGGCGGGCGACTCTCGGCTAATGACAGCAGGGCACACGCGTGAGCCTCTTGCGTTGTGTTCCGCAGCACCCCTCGCTGGACGCGGCTGAGAGAGCGAGACGCCACGGGTCGGTTGCCCGTGGCTCCCATGGCGGGTCTTAAAATCGTGCACAGACCACACCGGCACCTAGCACAGCATGGTCTGGCCCGGCGCGCTCGCCATGCTTGCTGCAGGGGGTTCGCGATTCGAAGTACGCCAGGCCGCCTACTCCATTTGAACGTCGTTCAAATGGAGTAGGCGATTGCGTGCTGGTGTCACGGTCCACATCCTCAAATTTCGAAAATGACTCGATAATGGTTACCCTGACCCAACCTCAATGGTCGCCAACCAAACTAACAAGAAGAGACAAACTTTTTTTTCGAATTGGATAAAAAAAGACAGCCCTCAACATTTCAAGAGCTCGTACAACGCAGTGATGAATACGAGACGGTGGGGGTCCCTTAATAAATAACGGTCACGAAGCAGTCTGAAGAAAGTGCGGCACACGGCTCCGGAGCCGCAGATTGCCCACCCCTTGGTCTAGGGGTTTGAGAGTGTTGTTCCTCATCTGTAATATCCACCACCCCCTCCCCCGTGCAAGTTGCTGTAGCCGACGGTGTCTGGAGACAACAACTCTTAGCCTAAATGCTTTTGTTTTCACTGCGGACTTTTCCCTTCCTCAATAAGCTCTTCCTATATTTTTGTTTGTCTTGCTGTACGTTTTAAGCTTAATGTGTTTAATCGCATGACTGGCTCCTAGCGAGCGCACGTACGCGTGTGTTCGGGAGGTTATGCCTTGTGAATCATATGTCACAGAGATGACGCCTAATGCTGGAATCGGTGGGAGAGATGGATTACTGCATCTCATCTCTCTGTATGTGCACTCTACTCTTCCCACAGTCTTAGTCCTGAATTAAACCCATGTGTAATGACGACTGGGACGCACTTGTCTTGAGATGGTTTATTTTATTAAGGAGCCACGTGCTCACACTCGAACAGGCGGAGACCCCCACTGCAACAGCCCTGAGTTTCCCGCCCATCTCCCTTATATACGGTCCGAGGCCACGCCCCCATTCCCGAACTTTCTCCCTGGTTCTAGATGCTCGCTCTACCAGCAGACTCTACCGTCCTCTTCCATCACCTGGCCATGCTCCGATGCTCGATGATTCCCACAGCCACCAGTCCATTCGTACTGCAGGCTGACTCCCCTGTCATTCCCTCCCGTGGCCACTAGTCCATTCGCACTGCAGGCTGACTCCCCTGCCATTACCTACTGTGGCCACTAGTCCACTCACACCGTAGGTTGACTCCCCTGTCATTACCTATGTCTAATTAATCTTTACACCTTTCATCTCCGCCTCCCTCTGTTCTTTTCCGTATAGATGTGGACGAATGTTTGCGGTCACCCTGCCAGCATCGTTGCATCAACACGGTCGGTTCGTTCGAGTGCCAGTGTCCTGCAGGTTACTCGGTGGCAGCGGGTGGTCGCAACTGTGCTGGTGAGTCCAGCTAGCCCTGAGTTCGTAGACTTACACCCACACCCACAAAGATTCCCCGTATAACCTCAACAGATTATTGGGGCAAGTGCCGTTAGCGAGCACCTACAAACGCTGGCACGGCGCACGAGAGGGTGGGTGGCCAACACCACGCCCGACCGCCATTGTCTCCCAAGTGGCGATATTTTTACGTACCGCACCAGGTACTCGTTTGAGGCTGAGTCGACCTTGGGGAGGCCCAGGATCGGTTCAAAGTATTGTCATTGTTGTTGACCATGAGTGGGAGTCGAACTCAGGTCGCCGGGTTCATAGCGCAGCGCGCTAACCGATACACTACCACTCCCCACACCCCCACGCCCACCTGCACACATTCACACTCGCCAACTCAGAAACACGAGCAGACCTGCCCAAGACCAGTCTTCTTCTTGCGTTCGCTATCAAAGGTTGATATCCAAAACTGATCAACGACTCCATCTTCGCCACTTCGTCCAGTTCACTAGGCCCTCTCACTTCAACCGTCGTTGTAAGGGACGGTCCTCAGCGATGTGGAGAGACAGCTATCTGCTGGGCAATCCCCACAGCCACTTATAGGCGAAGTGGCACATGAACTTGAGGTGGCGCCAAATCAGCGTGCCAAGATGCTCGTAGCCACACAGTTGAGCCTCGTCCAAGACGGTGTGGATGGCTGGTGTCCACATACACGTGTGACTGTTGGGTCGTGGAGATGTATGACCGATCGCGACCAGTACATTGGGGAGACTGGTACGGTCTTGGGCAACAAGGTCGTATAGACTGACTGGCAGACGACAGCTCTTGCAGAGCGCACAATCAACACTGACCATTTGATAACTTTTAACTCCTTGGAAGTACTTTTAAAGAGTCAAAGTGATTTCCTGCTCAAAGTAGCATTGAGGTGGTGCTCTTGTTTACAACCCTGAGCCATTGGTGGAAATTCCGCATTCCTATGGCATCCTCCCCACAAATGGTACTTATTTTATTGATGATGGACTAAACCAATTCCAACCAAGGGGCTGTCCATAAATGACGTCACCCGATTTTGGCCTATTTTTGACCCCCCCCCTCCCTCCCTTGTCACACGGCGTCACAAAAAGTCAGACCCCCCTCAAATATGACGTCACAAAGCTCTGCCCCCCCCCACCCAAACCATATTTCCATTTTTAAAATAAAACATGCTTCAAATCGCTTTAATCTATTGTCATTGTAGTGCGTATTTAATGTGGCGCTGCACTTTGATGTTGTAGGAGAAAACATTTATTAAAAAAGAGGCGTTGTAAAGTTTAAATTTAGCCTAAAATTCACTTGAAAATATTAAACGTCTAACTAAAACTGCAGATGTTCAGAATATTATATTGAAATTCTCTCATAATTATAAAATATTAAAAGTAATTATAACTATAAAAATACTTTAAACTTTGTAGTACAACGAAGCAAAATAGAGAGTACAATTATAAGTCACATATTCATTTCACAGAATGAAAAGTCCTGGTACAATCATTAGAATAAAAATGTTCATTAACAATCATTCAAAAATTTTAAAAAAATGTATGCTTCTCCATTCTCCCATGGAGAAGCAAAATGCTCCTTCATGGAATAAATAAAAGTGACCTTAGTAAATTGAAATAAAAAAAATAGTTAATAATGAAATATAATCAAAATGAGTGTTGTTATAACAGTTTTTTAAAATTAATATTTATTTAAAGTTGCGCATTTTTATGTGACGTCACATTTCTCAAACCCCCCCTTCCCCCCTCATCACACATCGTCTCAAATGTCCGACACACCCCCCAGGTGCGTGACGTAATTTACGGACGGCCCCCAAGATTTTAATTTGCAACTGTCCAATTGAGAGCCACTCGCTTTGCCACTGAGCCATCTGGCCAGGTTGTACTTCAATCCGTTTAAAATCGTTTCCATGATCAATGCCTAGAATATCCAAGCATAAAAAGAACGTCTTAGCGGTACACCGGTGGTGCGTGGTGTTGTATATGTGGGTGTGTGAAAATTTGATGAAAATAATGAAAATTAAATGAAATTTCCATAAGTATGTTAATTGCGTAAATTATGCTAATTCGAGATGTAATCGTATTAATGTATACGAATGGGTGTGGCTATGTGAATGATAGCCTTTATGATAATCAGACCCCGCCTCGTTGACGAGGTGGTGTTATTAATCGGGATAATGCAATCAATCGTATGCAGTTATGCTAGTGTCAACTTGGCTTCGTTGTCTAACTTCGTATTATCGATCGGTATAATACAATGATTCTCGCTTTGACATTTATTGAGTGGATTAGTGTGTTTATGTTTTAGGTCCCCGAGTTCATATCTCATTGCAGGATACAGTCCTTATGCAAAAATTATAGGAAAGAATCACACGATCACTTCTGCATTAATCAATTTATTTTCTAATTAAACCTTAACTCTAAAAGATGCAACCCTCAGCTTGGTAATAAAAACAACACAGTATCAACACAGTCTCATCAATGACTGCGTGGTTTCACTTTGACGTTCCCCCCCCGCCCCGCGTAATGCAATTGTTTTTAGTGAGAGAGGGAGTCGTTAAAACATGCGTGCAAGCTATTCTAAACAAAAACCTTACCATTCTATTATGAATTATTATATTTGAAATCGGCCACACTGTACTCCCGGATGTTCATTCATTGACCCATAGGCAATCCTTATCACGTTGTTAACAGGGCAATTGATTATTATGCAGCGTAACACGAACGTATAGAAAATATGAATAAAGTCATATTCTTGGTGATGCGACGGTATTCATATGAAAGACAAAAAAATAACAAAATATTATTTCTGAAGGCACAAATATGCGTTCATAGATTCATCAGCGATATTGTATAATTAGAGATGGCTTGGAATAAGGTGTGCGACGGGACGTGCTTCTCACAGGAGATTAATGAATTCGTGTACAAGATTGGATAAGGAAGCCCGTTTAACATCATTTCTCCCTGTGAGCGCAGCCCGTGGCGAAGGTCTCAAGAATTAATTCGGATAGATGAATCTATGGGTAATTTATGCGATTAGAAGTACCATCACAAAACGAAGACCAGAAACTTTCAATAATAGAAAAACTTAATGTACTTATAACCGACGCATCGTTATCACTTGAAGGGCGGTGATGCCTTCGTGCCCAGCTGATGGTTTATTAGTCTTAGTGTTAGGTTCGTAGGATTGTTCTTTTGGTAAATTCTTGTGTGAGCAGACGATGTAAGCGCAGTGGGTTTGTGAAGGTGGGGGAGGGGCATATGAACAAAGGCAGGTTCCCTCTCGCTCGGCGTTTCTCACACCGCTGGGATGAGCTGGCCGGCACACCGCTCCCTCCTCTCGAGTTGCTTGATCGCTCTCAGTGGACACCTCTCTCCACTGCTGGATTAGCTGCGCAATCACGCTCGTGCTGGTTAAGCAACGCCACCGTGATATTACTAACTCATCCGAATCTGATTTGGATGACGATGATCAACTTTCCGAATACTCGTTCAGTAGTAACACTCTGAAATTGATGGACAAAGCTCTCATCAGAATTCCCCATTTTGATCCACACAATAAGAACAGGGACATACACACTCACGTCGCAACGGTAGAAGCAGAAGCAATGATCAGGGGTCTGAGGAAAACGGATGAGAAAGCCAGTTTGCTGAAACGGAGCTTGCATGAAAAGTCTATACCATGGGTAAAGTCGCTACCATACAAAGTTCGGAACGATTTCAAAGAACTTAGCCTGGCAGTGATTCGGAAGTTTGGAACATATCTAACACTGTCTGAGGGATTTAACGCTGCAAAATCTATAACCCAGTGCGCAGACGAGGATACTCAGGGTTACCTCATGCGATTTAAAAGAGCGTACTACGCAGGCGATGTGGACCAGTATCACGAAGGGGACAAAAGATTCAAGATCATGTTTTTTGGATCCTTGAGTCCAGAGATTACAGAAATTGTGGGAATGGTCTTGAATCCAGAGACAGCCTCCTTAGACCACATAGAGGATCGGGCACACATGGCTTGGCTGTACAGGGCTAAAACCAATAATTATACAACACACAGTGAACGGGACAAGGCAACCAGCCTATCAGAGGAAAAGAAAAAAACAGGTGAGGCATTTGATGCATGCAGGCCCACAGTGCAGAAAACGGCAAGCATCCACGAATTACCAACGTAACTACATACACAGGTGGCCAGATAGCAATTACACGAGGCAATGGCCCACAGGCTGGGAGCGATCACAGCGTGTAGGGACGCGTATTTGCGAGAATTGCAACGTGTGGAGACCACGAGCAAAGTCAGACCAGTTCCCAATTCCACGGCACACAGGCTGGGAGCGATCACAGCGTCTAGGGACGCGTATTTGCGAGAATCGCAACGTGTGGAGACCACGAGCAAAGTCAGACCAGTTCCCAATTCCACGGCACACAGGCCGGGAGCGTTCGCAGCGTGTACGGACGCGTATTTGCGAAAATCGCCACGGGTGGAAGCCAAGAGCAGGACCATGTCCGTACCCAACGCAACGGCACACAGCTGGCCAAAATTACCCACACAGATGGCGAGATAACAATTACAATCGACAGTGGCACATAGAGAATGGGCGATCACAACACACAAAGACACATAATCGCGAGAATCACGGCGCGTATAGGCCAAGAGCAGAATCACGCCGATTCCCAATTCCACGATACACAAGGGGTCAGACATGATCTGTCCACTTCCGACCAATCCCACCACCAGCGTTACCAGGAGGGAGCAGAGGCATGAGAAATAGGGAGACAGGTGTGAGCTTGGCTGCTGTGACAAAGAGGGTGACATGGGCACGTGATGAATCGCTCACACTGGTTGAGAGGAAAATGACAGGGAGAGTGGTGTCCGCTGAGCTGAAAAAAAATCACAGCCCTTGGGAAAAATCAAGCAGGCTGGAGGTGACGAGCAAAACCAGGAGGGCAACCATGATTGGAAAAAAACTAAAAGTGTCATGCACCCGTTCTGATAATGTGGTGGAGAACGCGAGAGTCGCTCCCGTGGTGAACACAGAGTAGAGAAAAATAACCATGAAGTGTGATCCAACAGGATCGGGGGGAGAAACCTGATGGTTTGGTAAATGGAAACGCCATCAATTGTGTCGCGAAATTCCGTGAGAGTACTGCGAATGTGGCAGAGAAAGATGCTACGGAGACAAAAATCCATGATGGATCGGGGGATGTGTTGAAATCCAGCACACCCAAAAACATGGAATCGAATCGTGGCCCAGAATGGAATCGTGGCACGGAATCGAGTCGTGGCCCAGAATCACATCGTGGTACGGAGTCAGCAAATCTGCACATGGCTGCGGAGAAGGCAAATGACCCCAACAGTCGAGCACAGAAACTCGTGGTGTGTACTAATCCTGGTTACGCACAACATGGTTTTACGCCACATAAACCCACATGGACGGAGAGGGATAAAATTTTTTTTACCGGTATGGACCAGGGAACCGTGCTCATTTGGCTAAAGCCATATCGACGATTAACCAAGATGACGATAATGTGATGTTGCATGGACAGGTCATGGGTAACTCTAAAATACCTGGCCATGAGAAAAATGACTCTATATTCTTGACCAAAGGTGGCAGTAAGGTTGCCAATAACTTGGTAAACAAGTTGCAAAGAGGTAACATGAGGGAAACGGTGTACCACCGGGCTCGAAACCGCTATCCAGCATTTCCCAGGAACTGAAACAAAGTCAAAGTAACAATAATTGATAAGAACCGATGTAACCTGTTGCCTTAATATTTTTTCTTCTGTTCTTTTCTTTTCTTATTTCAAATGTAATCATGCTAAGTTGTGACACGTACGCGCGCATTGTAAGGAAAAATCACACACACAAACTCGAGGACAATCAATGCTTATGATGGAAAAGACAATTGTTTTTTTTTAAATAACCGGTGGCTGACCACTGATCATTTCTAAAAGGGCAGTATGTTGGATATATAAGGCTTTTCCAAAATTGATATTAACAAGAATATTTGCCGTTATATATCATTTTTTTAAAGTGACAAACAATAATTAATAAAACACGTCAGCCAGCCACACAGGGAAACCAGATGCCCATCGTAACACAGCCATTAAACCAGAAAATCCAGGAGATGAGTAATAAACAACCATAAAACCAGTCAAGGGGAGAGGGTCGCCCCCTCCCCCCCCCCCCAGCATCGTATAACGCAGATGGATTGTGGAATGTCACACACACGCACGTACACACACATACACAGGCCACGCCCCCCCCCCCCTTTTCACTGCGTGGAGCGGATAATTTTTTTTAATATAACGGTCAGACACATTTCAAAAAGTTCAGTCAAGACAGATCAACGGTTCAAGAAGTCGACAAGACACGAGCAGTCGCAGCGAACAGCTGGCTCCATGGAGCGCGAGCCTCGCTGAGTAGCGAGGATCGCTGAGTCGCGATGTATCAACGTGCGTAGTTCAGAGCCGAAAGGCAAAGTATCACTCCAAACTTTATTCCTACATCAAGTGCCAGCCATCCAGCAGCGGAAAAGCTTGGCCAGCCGCCAACAACCTCAGCATCTCCGCAGAGAGAGCGCGTGCGACGTGGCTCAATCAGCAGCGGAAAGAGCGCGGCCAGCACCGCCAAGCAAGAGCGTGCAGAAGTTATCCAGCAGTGAAGAAACTGCTGTCAGCGAACCAGCACGGGCGCGTTCACGCATCTTCAAGGAGAAAGAGCGCGGCCAGCACCGCCAAGCAAGGGCGTGCAGCAGTCATCCAGCAGTGAAGAAACTGCTGTCAGCGAACCAGCACGGGCGCGTTCGCGCATCTTCAAGGAGAGGGAGCGCGCGCCACCAGCACCAGCGCGTGCTACAGCGTGCCACTTCGCGCCACCACGTGCCACCAGCGCTGACAGCGTTCGAGCAGCATCAGGAGAGGGAAGCGGCCCCGCACTCAACACCCATCGGCGCAACGACGGCGAGCGTCGTGCTGACTCTTCCAGCCAGCGGTGGACAGAAACTGTGGCAGCCGTTCGTATGCCCCACTCCCTCCCCCACACTCTCCCCCTCACTCCCCCACTGCTCCGCAACGATCAAACACATTTTTGACACAAGAGATGCCAACCTTGGCGTCTGCTTTACGCAAAGAATTGAACCACTGATAAAGAAGACACGATACGCATATCGGGATAATCAAGAAGGGTTACCACTCCAAGGTGGTGCATTAAAAATCAATTGATAACGAAAAACACTGCTGTCATTGAGTTGCATAATAATCAATCGTCCTACTGGTTAACAACGTGACAAGAATGTGCACTAAGGGTCGCGTATGATCAATGACTGAGTGCTGTGTTGTGTAACAATTCAAGTATACGAATTTGCATATGATAGAGTTAAGGGTTTGGTAGAATAGTATGCATGTTTTAATCTCTCTCTCAACAACCGATTAATTGCGTTATGCGTCGGGAATTAGCCACAGGTGCCGTTATCGAAGTGAAACAACGCAATCGTGATGGTACCGTGTTAATGCTGTGTTGAAATTCCGATATTGAGAGTTCTCATATTATCCAAACATTTAAGTTTAGCTAGGAAATAAAATTGATTAAAGCAGAGGGTTGTGTGTGATTCTTTCCGTGATTCCGCGTAAGAATTGTTCTGCGATTGAGATCTGAACCTTGGTGGACCTATCATAAGCACACTAACACACATAATACATTCAGTACGTGTTAAAGCGAGAATAATCGTATCCTTATTGATAATACTGAGTTAAACAACGAAGTCGAATTGACTCTTTCTCATTCACGTTCACAACACCTGCATAACTGCATATGATTAATTGCATTGTTCCAATTGATAATCCAACCCTCGTCACCGAGGCTGGGCCCAATTATCATAACGACCAGCATTATCATAACCACATCCACTCGCATAAATTAATACGATTATCTGTCGAATTAGCATAATTACACAAATTAACATAATTTTGGATAAATTTAGCAAATTTCAAATTTCATTTAATTTTCATTTTTTTCATCAAATTTTCATAACTTACATATATAACACTACCTCACTGCACCAGACATAATTAAAGCAGCAGGCAGGGTGATTGATGATCCAGCACTCACTGATTCACTCCAGTCAAATTTTGACTTAACTTTCGTGACTGCAGGAATTCATATTTTTGGTTCTTTCGGTAAAGTCACATAGATGTAATTTTTTTAAACGTCTGTTTGCACAGCTCTTTCCACCGCCCACTCACTTTGGAACCCTTATAGGCAGCTACATTTGGAGGCTTGCCCCCTCTTTTCTCTCCACCTGATCAAGACAACCTGTGTTGCAATCGAAACTTCGTGGGTTTTTTGCTTTTATTATTAAAACAAATGTTTGTTTTCTATTTACGTGACTTTACCGAAAGAACCAAGAATATCACTCCAGTCACTCGCTCTTCCTTCGCTACTACTACCATGGTTGCTGTTCCCGTGAACTTCACTGTTTGATTATCCTGCCCATGCTGAGGTTTACAGCCGCTTTGTTCAACCACCACACTGCAGGCCACAACACTTCTCTTTCGGCATCTTCCCTCCCACTGCTCCTCTTCTTCCAAAGCATTTTTTTTGTTTAATTAAACATACAAATGTAGAGCACAACCCAAGCGGCACAAACGGAGAATGATGCAAACAAAAAAAATACATTCCAGAAAATTGTGTCAGTGTCAATATAATATAAAACTGGAGATGGTGAGTATATGCCGCTCCTCTTTGGAATTTCATTTCCATCATTTCGCAAGCTCTGATAACATCCTTGCTCAATTCAAGTAAACGTGTTCACTCTGTACCTTTTACAACGTTGTTGGTGCTGTTTGCTGCTGGCCGATTCATGTTTTCGTCCATTGAGCCTGTGCTCGGTATCTGTGTAAAACAAACCCGTATTTACAATTCTTCCATGCATATGTGAGTTTGTGGATGCGGGAGCAGTAGTGTAACGGTTCGTGCTTCACTGCGCTATGAACCCAGCTACCTGGGTTCGCTTCCCACTCACGGCCAACATCAGTTGACGATTACCTGTTAACCGGCCATTGGCCTCCCCTAGGTCGACTCAGCCTCAAATGAGCACCCTGTGCAGTGTGTAAACATCGCCACTGGGGAGATAAAGGCGGCCAGGCGTGGTGTTGGCCGCTCACCCCCTCGTGCGCCTTGTTAGCCTTCAGAGGTGCTTGCTAACAACACTTGCCTCAACAGTCTGTTAGAGGCTAAACGGGGGAATCGTTTGTCTTTGTGTGTCCAAAAGGCCTCTCAAGTCCACACGGGGTGGCGGGGGGGGGGGATTATTCGTCTCGTCCGCTACCACCCCTTGTTTTGTGTTTTCCACAGATATAGACGAGTGTACAGAGAGCAGCCCTTGCGCCCAGCGATGCCTCAACACTCTCGGCTCCTTCCTGTGCCGCTGCGAGCGCGGCTACCTGCTCGAGAGGGATGGACGCACTTGCCGAGGTGAGTCTACGCCACACGATCTCCTGCCGCTCAGATGAGCGTTGAGACAGGGTGGGAGGGCGGGGCGGGATGGGGTGGCGTCTTTCGTTCACAGCCCCGAGCCACTGCTGGTAACTCCACGCTCCACAAAGTGGTGCTCGTTTCATTGACCCCACAGCAGGGACGGATGGGCCAAGTCAACCCCCAACCGGGATGTAAACTCGCAAATGCTGATCGCCAGCCGGTCGCTCTACCGCTGAGCCACCTGACTGGGCTGTAGGGTCCAGTGCAAAGTCACTGTATATGTTAGAGAACATATGTAGGTTAATGGCATTCAAACTGTAAGTGGGGTTGGACAGAATATGCCGCAAGCAGGGATGACAGCTAATGGTCACCAATAGTGATGCAGTGTCGGCCAAGGAATGGAACGCGTCAGAGATCACGTGACCTGCGGAGATGGAGCAATGAAATCAGTTCTTGCGTAGGCTCTTGGTGGATTATTACATCGCAGGATCATGAGAGCTGGCAGTGGCTTCGGGAGGCCTTCATTCAGCAGTGGATTGACCACAGTTGATGATGATGAACCAATTTGTAAGATAATAGCTGTTTTGCAATACATTTGTAGTGCTAATACTTACGTGATCCGGGGGTTACTGTTAGAGATGACGTCACAAAGGAAAGTAAAGAGAAGGCGGGGCGTGAGAGAGAAGGAACGCCTAGGGAGAGAGTGGTGATGTCACCGGACGAGGCGGGGCGATCGGGGGACCTTCCTGGTGGGATTCAGAGTGGAGTGGTCGCACGTGGCGTGGGCTCGTGCGGAAAATAAAGAAGAGTTGTGTCGTCTCAATATTCGTCTGGTGGACTCATTACACATTTAAATGCAAAGTGAAAGGGGTGTACTCACATACCACTGGGCCTAATTAGCAGTACAATGAGTGAATACTTTTGTAAAGTGTGCATTCCTCGCAAATGGTGTCTACAACTTATAAATTAATCTCAGAATAAGTTGGTGTCGTGTGAACACGGGTGTTGGGGAAACCAATGTGGCCAGACAAATTGCTGGCCACCACTGCCAAATGCCCTCTCTTGTGTGCGAGTACGTGTGTGGTGAGATGTTAACTAACTCGCCTGAGATGCAGGAGGTTGTGGGTTCGATCACGACCCCAACGTCTGTATATTTGGAGTTTGTATGTCACTCCCCCTGTGGTTGCATGGGTTTTTCTCCGGGTCCTCCGGTTTTTCCCTCCACATTTATAAACACGCGTTCAGAGTATTTTGCTGCTAGAAATTTCCACGTGATAAGCAACTTTATTGAGCTATCATTTGTGGCCAGGTCGCTTCTGAAAAAGAGCTTCATAGCTCAGTGGGGCTTACCTGGTAAAATTCTAATTTTCGTTTTGTATGGGGGGCGGTAGTGCTATTGTTAGCGTGCTGCGCTACGAACCCGGCAACCCGAGTTCAATTCCCGCTTCAGGCCAACACCAGTGATGATTATCTGAACCAGTCCTGGGCCTTCCCCTAGATCGACTCAGCCTGAAATGAGTACCTGGTGCAGTGTGTAAACATCTAGCACCGGGGGAGACAAAGGTGGCCGGGCATGATATTCGCCACGGCACCCACTCATGTTCCGTGCTGGCCTGAATAGATTGCTGCTCGCTAACAGAACTTGCCCCCTGACAGTCTGCTAAGTGGGTATCCGTTTTCTTCATGTTGCAGACATCGATGAATGCAGTGCACCTGTGCCCGTTTGTCGCTTCTCGTGCCAAAACATCCCCGGGAGCTACGAGTGCCAATGCCCAGAGGGTTACGAAGCTAGCGAGGGCCGCTGTACAGGTAACTGCATCACAACTCACCTTGTCCACTTTTGGCGAAGTACCAATCAATGTGATCGCCATTCATAACTGATTCTTCTCAGGTTAGGCCACGGTCGTGATATGGCCACGTCTTTTGTCGTAAAACCCCCTCCCATATTACTCGGCATCACCATTGTTTCACTTCGCATTGATTCAATTTTCTGGGCTCTTGTCGTGTTTGGTAGTTTCCATGAAATGCGTGTCGCTTTGCTCCACAGTGGACGCTAGCGACGATCCCCTGGCATGCGGACAGAGTTGGCCATTGCGTGCCAGCATCGCGGTCCAAATTTGCCTTATTTGAAGAAAAATTACTCAGTTGGAATTACACAAAGCAGCAAACATCACCCCCTCTGTTGGCAGACCGATGCTCGCTTGCAGACCAGGTGCTGAGTTATCGTGTGCTGCAAAGGGACGGCTGCCACATGTTTGAGATGGGATTTGAATAGTGCAAGTCGCCCATCCCGTGCGAAGTGCTCTGAGACGGCCCCAGCCTAAAAGGGGGGCTGCAATTGTAAAAAAAAAAAATGATTTGTCGTGTTAACAATCATCTGATACTAATGTATCTTATCAGACAAAAATCTATTATTTTAGTGTGTTCTGTATATTCCCCAGAATAATTCCAAACACAGCATGTGTTTTTGTAATGCACACAGACAACGAGATATATTTGGATAGCACTGACTGAAAATATTTCTAAAACATAAATGAAAAAAGATTTTTGGGGGATTGGTCTTCTTTAAAGAAAAATATTTGGTAAGATTTCAGGCGAATTTCTGCTCAAAGGAGCATTGAGGTGGTGCCCATTTACAGGCCTGAGCCAGTGATATACATTCCACATTCCTATGGTGGGGGCGAGTCTCTTCATAAAACAAACCACTTTTGACTTGCTCAGAAATTGCTGCTGATTTTATCGACCCCTGGGGATGATGGGCTAAGTCAGAAGTTAAACTTGCAACTTTCCCGATTTGTGAGCCGCTCGCTCCACCACAGAGCCCCCTGAGTGGTTACGAGAAAACAAAGCATTTTAAATTAATTCTTAAAACGACAAAGTATTAACTTTATGACGCTGACATCGCGTGGAACACCACCGCTTCCTTCCCGCGTTAACGTTCCACTTCCTCCTCCTCCTCCTCTGGCGCTCACGCAGACATCGACGAGTGCGACTTAGGAGTGCACGGCTGCACTGACTCGCAGAGCTGCTTCAACACGCCGGGCTCCATGCGCTGCCTGCAGCGGGACAAGTGCACGCAGCCGTACTCACAGACGTCCGACGAGTCAGTGTCCCTGCAGCTCGCGCACAGACACCTCCTCCCCCCCCCCCCCCCGTGCGTCCGTGGCAGGGCACGCGGTGCAATAGCGCTCTGTGCTTGCCCACGTCGGGCTGCTGGAGTTGCTCTGATTGCATTGTGGTAATGACGCGGGGTTGCTATCCCATTGAAAATGTCTTACCTGTGTTTTAAGTCGCGTCATGGCGACCGCTTGCGTGCGCTGCGCCACGGAAATTTCCCGTTGGCGGGAAATAGTGACGGGATGCTTAATCCCGCGCGGCTCCGGTGCTCTCTCCTCCACCGCTGGCTCTTCGCCGCGGCTTCGAGGAGTTCAGCGAGGCAGGAGCGGGCTGTGTGGTGCTTCTTCCCTGTCGCTTGGAAGGTCGACGCGATGCTACACCGATGGCGCCTCTCCCTTTCTCTAGGGTCGCCATCCCCGGGGCTGTTTGAGGAATTTTGCCTTCGTCGTCTTCGTTGTCCAACGTCCTGGCATATTGTCTGTGTCGCGTAAACATAACCTACTCGGTTTAACATGTAGGCTTTCGCGACCAATATTATTCATAATAAAGGTTTTTGGGTTAGATCGTGTTTATTTATAAATGTGTCGTAACCCTCCACCACCCGACACGGCCAATCAGCAAAAAAAAGTGTCACGTTGACAAAAAGACAAATAATTCACTACTTTAGCCCACCGGTGTGTTGAAGAGTGAATCCACATTTACAGTTTGAGTACGACGTTTCGCTGGTAAATACATCCAGCATCATCGGGCAATTCTCCAGAATGGTAAAGCCCTCGCTTGCTCCCGGTTTTATATAGAGCAGCAGGGTGACGTCATCACTTAACTCATATCAGGTGCAGTGATTAGAGGCAGAGGGGGGTATTGTAATTATATAATCGATTAGTAATCAGTCATTGGTTATGATTAGTAATGAGTTGTAGATTAGTAATTCTTTAAATAAAAATGTAATGTGTATTATTTAATAATACGCTTCCAGGCCACACTAAGCCTGTAGCTGTCAGAGCGATTAAAGTTATTCTTGTTCCTCTCAATTTCAATGGATTCTCTAATTAGTCTTTGCCAGTAATAATTAGTTTTACACACCACTGCAACATTGTCAAAATCAATTGAGTGTCCTTGTTGACAAGCATGTTCTGCCACTGCCGACAGTTGTGTTTGAGATAATTTAATATTTCTCTGATGTTCTTTTAGTCTTACGCTGATGTTACGTCCCGTCTGTCTGATTGGCCTTGTCGGGTGGTGGAGGGTTACGACACATTTATAAATAAACGCGATCTAACCCAAAAACCTTTATTATGAATAACCTACTCGGCTATGTTACTAATAAAATAACGTTTGGCAACTTCCAACACCAGTTGTAGTTAGTTCAACTGAGTCGCAGATGCACTCTTGGAGGCAACACATTTATTTAACAACAACACACGGGGTAAATGCCCCTTAACAGAATAACAACCTAAGGTGGTGACTACCAGGCTAACCACACTAATTACAACGTAACTAGCTACTACGGACTGGACCACAGTTCAGGTCCAGGTCCACGTGTTGGAGACTCGATAGACCGTAGAGTGCCATGGTCTCTAATAACCTCATTCCTACAGCCGGCACTTCCACACCCTATCCTGTAAGGCTGGCACTGCACGCTGAGCGTGGTGCCATCCAGCGCTATCAATCAGCGCTGACCGAGCCCCTCTAGGGCCGGTACTACACCCACACCATAGTGGTATCTGCGATGTCAATACACCACACTCCGTGCCTCCCTAGGGCTGGCACTACACAGTAACATCCCGCGATGTCACTACACAATCACTGTTGATTTCCACACACAGTGGTGCTCATTTTATCGACTTCGTAGGGATGATGGGCGGTCAACTCCCAATCAGGATTTGAACTCGCAAGCTTCTGATTGTGAGTCGCTCGCTGAGCCACCTGGCCGCTATCGTCAAGATCCAATTCATTACACTGCTGTACGTAGGCGTGTGCGCATGTGTGTGTGTGCGTGCGAGTGTGCGTGAGCATGTATGCGCGTGCGTGCATGGATTTGCTCAACCTCTTCCCACATTTCCTTGCTGCGCGATCGCAGCACGTGCGTGTGCCCGCGCGACCTGGCCGCGTGCCGCAACCGACCGTACATGGTGCGCTACCGCTACGCCGTGCTGTCCCCGGACCGGAGGCCCCAGTCCACCGTGTACCACGTGCACGCCGCCACCCGCTACCCGGGGGCGCGAAACTCCTTCCACCTGCACGACACGCCCGGCAGCGACGGCGCGTACTTCTCACTGCGGGTATGCATGCACTCAGCCCCCCAGTGGGCGCGTGGTGCCCACCGCAGGGGGTAGTGATCGCGCTTCGCTACAAACCCGGCAACTCGAGTTCAATGCACTGCTCATGATCAACATCGATGACGAATGTGTCAAGTGGTCCTGCGCCTCCCCGAGGTCGACTCGGCCTCAAATGAGTACCCGGTGCAGTGTGTAAGCCTCAGTACCGGGGAGACAAAGATGGCCAGGCATGATATTCGCCACAGCACCCACTCATGTTCTGTACTGGCCTGAATAGGTGCCACTCGCAAATCGAACTTGCCCCCAACAGTTTGACTCGGTCTTAAATTAGTAAATTGTGCAGTGTGTGGCAATACAACCCTCCTCATGTGCCGCATCAGCCTTAATCAGCACTTGCCCCAACAGCCCATGTAGGCTACATGGGGGATCTTCATATGTGCGCGTGTGTGTGTGCGCGCGCGAGCAGCAGACGGGCCCGTACAGCGCCGTACTCACGCTGCTGCGCTCCTTGAGTGGCCCGCGCGACATCATCCTGGACGTGGAGATGGTGAGCGTGCAACCGTACGTGCGCAGCGGCAGCAGCAGCAGCGTGCTCCGCCTCACGCTGTTTGTGACGGCGCAGCCCTTCTGAGCGGCGCCCGTGACGACGCACCGCCCCGCGCGCCACGTTTCCCAACATAATCACAGCGATGGTCCGTCGCATCGCTTACTCATTACGCGTGGTCCTACAAGGCTGCGTGTTACCGCAATGTATCGTTTATGCAGTTACTGGAATATGCACCGTGCCACACCACACCGCGCTATGCTCTACGAATCCACACATCACAACGTGCTGCGCTCTACTAAACCACACACCACACCGCGCTGCGCTCTACTCAACTAGACACCACACCGCACTACGCTCTGCTAAAGCACAAACCACACCACATGAAGCCACGTACTGACGTACAAAGGAATGCAACGCCACGTGATGCCACGTCACACCACTTTACATTCAACCACTGTAGGCACACTGCAACGTAACCACTCCGCACCAAACCAGGGTGCCAGGGTGGCGCAGTGGTGACACCCTTGTCTCGCGGCACGAAGGGTCTGACACGTTTTCTGCATTAAGTTTGTATGTTCTCCTCCCGTTCTGCTGCATGGCTTTCCTCCGGGCTCTCCCGTTTCCTCCCATAGTTACAAAAAAATACCCCACACAATGTCACCGGTATTGGCCAATCACATTCCCAGTGCTGAAAAATTACCTGCGAATTACTCGATTGGGATCACGCAGCGGTAAATTCGCCCCCCTACTGCGAAAAAACCTGGCAGGAACCACCTCCTGTTGAGAAATATATATTGAGAATACATGGTAGAAGATGTCACATGTACTCAGAATAACCTGAGAGATTAGCAGTGTCAGATTTCCTGTGGAGGGGGGCGGGAGGGCATAAAGGTCAAATAATGCCCGTGACCGACGCAGCATGTGCTGGTGTTAAGGGGCCCGCTGCTGGCAACACACACGGCACACGAAGACAGAGATTCCCCGTATAGCTTTTAAGGCTGTTGGGGCAAGTGTTATTAACGAGCACCTATTTACAGGTCTGCGCAGTACACAAGGGGGTGGGTGGCCAACACCACGCCCGGCTGCCTTTGGCTTCCCAGTGGCGATGTTTTAACACACCGCTTAAGGTACTCATTTGAGGCTGAGTCGACCGAGGTGAGGAAGCCCAGGACTGGTTGAGATAATCGTCACTGATGTTGGCTCTGAGCGGGAATCAAACTCGGTTAGCCGAGTTCGTAGTGTAGTGCGCTTACCGCTACACCACCGCTCCCCACACAGTACACCAGCGCATCACCAATCGGTAGAGCGAACCACACCGACGCATGCGTCCTCCAGCGCATTGCCGCCGATGCAGCGTGTCAGAGGAAACTGCGGCTATTTACAGGATCACATTTTAAAGCTTCGTTTAATAATATCCAACTGCAAAAATTTGGTTGTGAGAATTGTTCAACTTTTTCGTGAGGCGAGGAAATAATATTTGGCGGCACATTAAATGCGTGTAGTCTTGACAATTTACTTTGTTTGGCTGTGCCTGGTGGTGGTGGCCAGATCATTACGTGACCTACCCAGGACCCTAACTGCGAGCCGTGAGAAACATTTTTTTCAACGAAGTGGCGAGGTGTGAAACCAGTTTGCGAAGAGAACTCTGCCGTTGGATAGAGGGTATTGAAGCGCTGAATCCTACCCAGTGACCGGCAAAATATACGTTAAGGTGATAAGATGTATCACTATATGACAACTGACACCGTGTACATACAATAGTAAAGTTTGCCCATTCCACCATTTCATGTATTCGAGTGTCTTTTATTTCAGTTCTGCATCTTTATCAGACCACTGCCTCCCATGATCTGCCTCATCACATTTCCTCACTAAATTTCACAGTGACCTTCCAGCCACTTGTCATCTGCTCATTCGATAACCTATTCTCGCGTGTTTCTATCCAGCGTATACTTTCCTCTCCCCAGGACGACAACTCAAACGCTCGGATTCTTGATTTTCCTGCTTGCAAAGTTCTCACATCGCCAACAAGCGAAGAACCGCACTCCCAAATTTGATATTTCTTCCGAGTTCTTAATTCCATTCATAAAACACGATTTGTACTGGGCGGTTATTGTCCTGAGGTCCTCTGCACGCTGACCATACGTTCATCACTGACCATACGTTCATCGATATAAGCAGTAGAACGAATTCAAAGAACTGCTGTGTTTTCGCGAGTAGTCAATTGTCCATCCAACTGGATTCAAGCCTTACCATGCGGCAATGCAGCCTGACCTGCATAATCATGCGACACGTTGCAGCTACATTTCTATAATCTTGTGAACATCATGCTTAACGAGAGTAACGCTATGTACGGAAGGGACATAGTCATTCTCAAGTGTAATTTTCTTGAAATGTTTGTTGTACCCATTGTATTAATTATACCTCCAGTATAAAGTGACGGTTATACTAACAAAAATACCCCCCCCCACCCTTCAAATAAAAAAAATGCTCTTTAAATGCTAATACCAGTGATATTGATACAAACAATCTCCAGCAGATTATTTCATTTTTAAAATAATGTTAGTATTTTTTTTGGGTGAGAGCCCGTAGATATAAATGTGTTGTAAAAACCCACCACCACCCGACACAGCCAGTTAGTAAGATTTGTCACGTAAACAAAACGTGCCAATTAGTTCCTAGTTCAGCACACACCGGTTGAGTGTTGGAGAGTAAACCCACTATAACATTTACAATTCTAGTACCGTGACATTTCGCCGGTAATTACAACAATAACAACCAGCAGCATCATCAGGCGAGAGCCATAATTGTGGCGAAAACCTCCCTTCTGTTTCAGTCTTAAATAGACGGGGGATAAATGTGACGTCGTCACTTGTGAGCCAATCAGGTGTGAAGAACAGAGAGGAGGGGGAGTTGATGTATTCATATAAATTACAAACCGAAAAGCTAATATTGGTCGCGAAAGCCTACGTGTTAAAATGTTAGGATGGCTGCACGCTTTCCTGATTTTCAATCATCAGAATTAGGAGTGTATTTCCCACTGAGCAAAGCCCGTAGAGCTAAAAAGCTCTTTTTTAAAGACGACTCGCCGGCAGAAAAAAAAACAACGCATTCCACAATTACGGATTTAATAAAACAAACTTAATCAAAGTTATTCTGTTGTAAAGTCTACCTTCACACTTAAACAACAGAATGAGTCGCTCGGGCAGTCTGCAGCGCGTCAGAGCCGTGACCCCATGGCACGAACGGCTCGTGAGCAGTGCGGCTCGGCTCGGTTTTTCCCGAGCGAAGCGGCACAGAACCGCGCCACGCACTTTTCCCACTTCACTTTCTTCCGTGCCAGGTGTTGCGCTGTTTTCCCAAGACACACACTGCACTCTAGAGCAGTGATAATTTAAGTATTAAAATTGTACCATAGTGTGCGCATTTAAAGCGAATTTTGTTTAACATTAGAAGTGCAATTTTATATTGAAATGTATAGTAAAAGTTGCAAAGGTCTATAGTACAGTAATGCTATATGCAAATTGGTAAATTAATTAAAAAAAACACTCAAAACACAGAGAGATGCATGCTTAGAACAACTCGATATTAGGAAGCCACTGGAGCTATGCACTTTTAAATATATATTGAAAATTAATTGATTTAGAACTGCTGTTTGTGTTTAGTCTGTTGTCCTTCCCCGCACCTCCGAATAGCATGGTTGGCTACGTAGGGTGCTAAATAAGTTAAACATACATACATTAAACACTCTGCGACAGAAATAGGAGCACGAGAATGGGAGAAGACACGCAGATTAATGAGATCAAACTTAGGAAACGTACAGTGAGGGAAAAAAGTATTTGATCCCCTGCTGATTTTGTACGTTTGCCCACTGACAAAGAAATGATCAGTTTATAATTTTAATGGTAGGCTTATTTGAACAGTGAGAGACAGAATAACAACAACAAAATCCAGAAAAACTCATGTCAAAAATGTTATAAATTGATTTGCATTTTAATGAGGGAAATAAGTATTTGACCCCCTCTCAATCAGAAAGATTTCTGGCTCCCAGGTGTCTTTTATACAGGTAACGAGCTGAGATTAGGAGCACACTCTTAAAGGGAGTACTCCTAATCTCAGCTTGTTACCTGTATAAAAGACACTTGTCCACAGAAGGAATCAATCAATCGGATTCCAAACTCTCCACCATGGCCAATACCAAAGAGCTCCCCAAGGATGGCAGGGACAAGATTGTATACCTACACAGGGCTGGAATGGGCTACAAGACCATTGCCAAGCAGCTTGGTGAGAAGGTGACAACAGTTGGTGCAATTATTCGCAAATGGAAGAAACATAAACGAACTGCCAATCTCCCTCGGCCTGGGGCTCCATGCAAGATCTCACCTCGTGGAGTTGCAATGATCATGAGAACGGTGAGGAATCAGCCCAGAACTACACGGGAGGATCTTGTCAATGATCTCAAGGCAGCTGAGACCATAGTCACCAAGAAAACAATTGGTAACACACTACGCCGTGAAGGACTGAAATCCTGAGGCGCCCGCAAGGTCCCCCTGCTCAAGAAAGCACATATACATGCCCGTCTGAAGTTTGCCAATGAACATCTGAATGATTCAGAGGACAACTGGTTGAAAGTGTTGTGGTCAGATGAAACCTAAATGGAGCTCTTTGGCATCAACTCAACTCGCCTTGTTTGGAGGAGGAGGAATGCTGACTATGACCCCAAGAACACCATCCCCACCGTCAAACATGGAGGTGGAAACATGCTTTGGGGGTGTTTTTCTGCTAAGAGGACAGGACAACTTCACCGCATCAAAGGGACGATGGACGGGGCCATCTACCGTCAAATCTTGGGTGAGAACCTCCTTCCCTCAGCCAGGGCATTGAAAATGGGTCGTGGATGGGTATTCCAGCATGACAATGACCCAAAACACACGGCCAAGGCAACAAAGGAGTGGCTCAAGAAGAAGCACATTAAGGTCTTGGAGTGGCCTAGCCAGTCTCCAGACCTTAATCCCATAGAAAATCTGTGGAGGGAGCTGAAGGTTCGAGTTGCCAAACGTCAGCCTCGAAACCTTAATGACTTGGAGAAGATCTGCAAAGAGGTGTGGGACAAAATCCCTCCTGAGATGTGTGCAAACCTGGTTGCCAACTACAAGAAACGTCTGACCTCTGTGATTGCCAACAAGGGTTTTTCCACCAAGTATTAAGTCATGTTTTGCAGAGGGGTCAAATACTTATTTCCCTCATTAAAATGCAAATCAATTTATAACATTTTTGACATGCGTTTTTCTGGATTTTGTTGTTATTCTGTCTCTCACTGTTCAAATAAACCTACCATTAAAATTATAGACTGATCATTTCTTTGTCAGTGGGCAAACGTACACAATCAGCAGGGGATCAAATACTTTTTTCCCTCACTGTAAGTGGGGCTTGGGCAGGATGCGTTATGGATCAGAAGGGATGATGGGCGATTCCCACACCTCCGATTAGCGCGGTTGGTTACTTTCAGTGTGAAAGAAGTTTCAAATACATGGCCAGGAATAATGACGGAGTGGCAGATAAGGTCGGCAACGCATCCAAGAGGACGTCCACCGAGGAAAAGAAGCGATGAGACCGGCTCGTGTGGAAGATACTCGGTAGATTTTTACATCGCAGGATCGCGAGGGATGGCGGCTGCTTGAAGATATCTTCAACCAGCAGTGGATCGATCGTGAGTGAAGATGGTGAATTGCAGTGAGTGGTTCAAGTAACGCATTGTGCAGCGACGACTCCTTGCACTGTAACATTGGACCGCAATGGCTAAAGACGCGTAAAAACTGGCTTCCTCCACCAGGCTTCCAAGGTTCAGGAACTTAAACAATTTGAAAGTGCCTTTGATACATTAATCCTCACATTTACCGAGAGCTCCCCTCGCCCTATCAAATGAGCATTGGGCCCAGGGATGCTTCACGAAGCGGATTGTGCATTACGGTTTCATTGACCTCCCTACAGCTCTACCCATAATGCAATGTGGCAGCAATATTTTAATCTGTAGCCTCTCTAAGGGTTATGAGCAAAGGCCATTGCCCAA